ATAAATACTTAAATTCTGAGCCTTAACCTGCAAGTTTTACACATTTAATTTGTTTTGCTTTTTGTTTGTGTGTTTGTTTTGTATGTTATTGTATAAAAGATTGACAGATGAACTTGTTGATTAGAACGGATAATCTTCTCATGGTCTGCCAGTCTGTCTCCGGGTACTAGAGTAAACAGTAGGAACAGTAGACATAGTGTCTCCAGGTACACCTTGAACCACTAGACTTTAGGTCTCCGATCGTGGACATATATCCGTAATCTGGAAATGAGCAAGGAATATCTACCGTTTAACCAACATTTTTATATAAATCTCTAAATTCTTAAAAATGTAATTTTTAATAATCTTTATTCTTTCAAAAACGTAGGAAAATACCTTTAGAGTAAAAACATTTAAATTTATTTTAACACAAATAATGTAGAAAGGAATTGAGTTTTTGCCACAAAACTCAAATTTTCCATGCCTTATATCTTGGCAACCTAATGGTGGAAACCCTTGATATTTCAAACTTAGGCTATTTGATCTAACAGAATTCATTGTTTGAAATATCTAACGTCTACGAAATTAGATTGAAAAGATATAGTGATTAGAAAATCAGAGTTTGTGATAAAGACTCAATTCCTTTGCGGTAGAAATGTAAACCTGTAAGTCCGACCAATTTGCATTGTGTAAAAATCTGGGTTTAAAAAAGAAAACAAATATATTTAGATAGATAGATATATGGATAGATAGATAGATAGACTATGTAAGGGGCAGGGGTTGAAGGATATTGATGTCAATACGTCAATCAGAGTTTTCAAAACAATCCCATTCCTAACATTTTCATGTTCATTTTCATTTCCATTTTCATGTTCATTTTTATGTCCATTTTCATTACCATTTTCATGTTCATTTTCATGTTCATTTTCATGTCCATTTTCATGTTCAGCTAGCTGTATGTTCATTAACATTAACATTAACAAATTTTATTATAAATTGTATGACAATATTCATTTCGTTCTAATTTCCACTTTCATGTCCATTTTCATCACCATTTTCATGTCCATTTTCATGTTCATTTTTATGTCCATTTTCATTACCATTTTCATGTTCATTTTCATGTCCATTTTCATGTTCAGCTGTATGTTCATTAACCTTAACATTAAAAAATTTCATTATAAATTGTATGACAATTTTCATTTTAGGTTTATATTCATTTTTATGTTCGTGTTAAAAATCTAATTAATTTTGAATGTTTTACCTAATATAAATATACTCCCCACCCTGTATGTTTCCCCCCGCTCCCTGCAAATCCACAAAAACCCTCTGTTTGAGTGATTTGGTGAAAAATTTCCCATTTACAACCTTTTTCAAGGCACTTTAGGTCCAGGCTTTATATGCTTATCGGAATTAATTCTCTGAGATACAAAAATGGGCAGAAAATTTAACGCCTCTTTGTGAAGAGAGATTTTTGCATATTTTCATGATGTGGCATTTTTGTGTCGGAATTTTAATGAGGGAGGGTGAAGTGTATTAATCAAAGCTAACACACCGACCCCTCATGTAATTAGATCTTTAAAATGAACTCTAGATGAAAATCTTAAACGTTTCATTCATCACAACCCGGTTATATGCTAGATTTAGAACATGCAGGACGGGTAGAATCTGAATTAAAAGGTGTAAGTTCATATATAAGTATCTAGGAGTAAACCCTGAGGACCCTGAGTAAGGAATAGTATATAGTAAACTGTGTAAATGTACTTGTATACCAATACCAATATATGCTGTATACACTCAAAGTCAAATTGGTATACTGTATACCTTGATCAAGGTATACTGTATAGTAAGGGTGATCAATATTGGAATTAAGCCAACCACCCACCCGGGGGTTGCGCTACGTTTTCACTTAAAAAAATAATTTAAAATTGTCCATATGGTTGCGAATTGACAATTTAATTTCGGAGAAATCACCGTAAGGCCCCCCATAAATGATTTTAAAAATTGCATTTTATACATCATTAACTTGGAAATTGTATGCTAAATTCAAACCTGAAAAGCGCTTTTAAAAATATTAAAAATTAAAGAAATTATAGCCAAATAACTGTCCAAAAATCTGTTTTTTAACTTTTTCATGTTTTTGGTGAGTTTTCCAGCTCTAACTTATTCAATTTTGATCATTTTTTAAGTTCTTTTCAGATTTGAATTAAGCAAAAAATTTCCAAGAAAATTATATTTAACATGATACTTTTAAGAATATTATTTTCGGGCCTTACGGTGATTTCTCTAATATTAAATCGTTACTTCGCAACCGTATGGACGATTAAAATTTTTTTATAAAATAAAAACGCAGCAACCCCCGGTGGGCGGTTAGCTGATTTCTAAAAAAAAGTCACAAATCAATTACCTTTACTGTATACCATTTACAAATAAAACTGTATAACCTGAGCAAGGTATACTGTGTACCCAGAGCAAGGTTTACTGTGTACCCTGAGGAAGGTTTACTGTATACCCTGAGCAAGGTATACTGTGGACCCTGAGCAAGGTTTACTGAATACCCTGAGCATTGAGCAGGGTCTACTGTATGAACTGAGCAAGGTATACTGTATATTCTGAGCAAGGTATACTGTATACCCTGAGCAAGGTATACTGTATACCCTGAGCAAGGTATACAGTATACCCTGAACAAGGTTTACTCTATACCCTGAGCAAGCTATACAATATACCCTAGCAAGGGTTACTGTATGCCCTGAGCAAGGTCTTTTGTTTACCCTGAGCAAGGTTTACTGTATACCCTAAGCAGGCTCTAGTGTGTACCCTGAGCAAAGTTTACTGTATAACCTGAGCATTGAGAAGGGTCTACTGTATGAACTGAGCAAGGTATATTGTATATCCTGAGTCCGAAATTTAAAAGAGTATCGTCGAACGAAACTCCCGAGTGTCCTTTTTGGGATCTTAACATTTTGTAGATTTTGATTCGACAAAAATGGAGAATATAAAGAAACTAAATAAAATAGTATTTCATGACAAAAATATTGATATCCACAAAACTGACTGACCCCATTCGTCAAACCCGGGTTTTAAAACTGGTTTTCATAAGGATACCCTGTCTTAAGTTTTGGGCTCAGAGCTAGGTATACTGTTTTCCCGGAGCAAGAAATACTGTATACCCTGAGCAATGTGTACTGTATACCCTGAGCAAGGTACACTGTATACCCTGAGCAAGGTCTTCTGTTTACCCTGAGTCAGGTATGAAGTGAATCTAATGATCTCTATATCCTCCTCTAAATGTTCTCCAGGTCCTGTCCTAACAGGACGGGGTTCCAGGATATTGTGGAACTTAAATCCTTTCTCAGGCTATCATAATAAACCTCACTAATCCTTCTAAGCATATAAATAATAAGAACCCTCTGTGAGGACTTTAAGTTTAAAATTTTTTCGAGATTTTTCATTTACCTATTTTCATTTACCTATTTTCATTTACCTATTTTCTTTTATTGTTTTATAAAATTTGGAGATATCACATTTTTTTGTGTTTGGGCGAGCTTTAATTACAAGTCAGGAGGGTGAGAACACAAGCAGGGTTACCAACAAACTTAGACAAGACTTAAGAGACGACTGTACGGAATCTATACTGCCTATTTACTTAAAATCTTGATTTCCTGCAAATATAAATTTCTTTCTTTCTTGGCTTAATCATTGAACAAGCAAACACCACATTTGTGGGATACCCTGTAAATTGGTATTAAAGGGACTGTAAGCGTAATTTCAAGTGACCCTTCATGCAAAAATGGCGCTGCCCGATTCGCAACGTTACCTTTAAAAGCTTTGTCTGACCATGTATGAATTAGATTTAAAGGAATTGAGTCTTTGCCACAAACTCTGATTTTCTCTTCCTTATATCTTTGCAACCCAATGTCATAGACCTTTGATATTTCAAACTATGACTTCTATTAGATCAAATAAATTAAGTTTGAAATATCTAAGGTTTACAACATTGGGGTCAAAAGATAGAGGGATTAGAAAATCAGAGTTTGTGGCAGTTCCTTTTTATAATTTTGAAAACCTTCTCTATAGCTAGAAAAGCGACAATATCTTCCGTATTATTGATCAGTTACAGGATTCAAGGGTACCATTGGGAATCAAACATTTAAAAAAAAACAGCAAGGTCACTTGAAAACAGCAACAATAATTTGTATTAGATGAAGTTTCTAGAAAGAAAAATATTAGGACCAATGTTTTTGTTGTAGAAATCCACGAGTTTCTGTAATTTTGTTAAATTGAAAAGCGATAAATATTCCTACCATAGAATTTTAGATAAAGAGACAGAGTTAACAGTGTGAATCGATAAGGCACTCTAAAGTATGTGTGATGAGGGTCAACGAATAAATTTCTGAAGTCCAATCATGTTTATCGAGGTCTAAATGTAATTTCAAGTGACCCTCCATTAAAGATGCAACCCTTTTATCTGATCAATAATGTGGAAGATATCGTCGTCCTTTAAGAAAAATGTTCAATTCTCACTATTTTCTCCATTGTTTATGTAGCAAGAAACAACCACAAGTAATTTTGATTGAAAATGATAATAAGGGCACCCTTGGGAATCGGACATGTTGTTCAATAAATGAAATTGAAATAAGAATTATATAGTCCCTTCAAACAGATATTATAATTTTTTCATTCTCTATTTTCTTAGAGAGTTTGTTCAAAGAAATTACTTAGATTTTAAGGACAATTTACATGACTTATAAAAATATACTGATATATTTCTCTCTTAAATTAACCGCAGAAATATATCAGATTTTTTCAGACTAATGAATAATTCAAAACGTAATACGAAAGTCAAAAAACTGGCTATTGTCTACTACATAACTCAATAGGTTGCACTATATATAGAGCCTGGGCTAATGGAAATATAATTGTATATATATCTCTCTCTCTATCCTTCTATCTTCCTATCTCTCTATTCTCTCAATTCTTGTCTCACCGTAATTATATATTATAGCATGACCCACGCGCTCGTATCAATCTCAATCTTCTTTATTAATAATTTCATCTATAACAGTTAGGGTGAGTGTGAAGCATAATAAATAATATTAATGTTAACATGATTAACAGATAGGTATAACAGCAACGAACAGAAATCCGGGAATTCAAAATTTATAAAATTCCGGAAATTTTTTTTAACAATATATTGGTGAAAATCCGGGAACTACTCGACAATCCGGGGACTAAGAAGTGAAACTCTACGAGCTACATGAATTTAGCAGGAAGTCTGGAAAACAGTTTTGAGAAAATCCAGCAAGAAGTGGAAGAAATTTTGCATTCTTATGGATCAAAATTTTGCACAGCTACAGAGTGAGATACATAGGTTTTCAGATCTTGTTTATGCTACAACATTTACAGTTGATGATGTCCTTAAACCACTTTGCATTGGAGTTTACACTGATCTGAGATCCGGACTGAACCTGAATGGTTTAACTGGTTCGTGTTGAGGGGGAGAAGAAAATGAATCCCGGAGGTTCTGCAGTTTTCGAACCTTATCCAAGAGTCCAGGAAAGGAAGGAAGGTTTAGGGCTGGACTAAGCTGCCCTGCTGGGACTAGGGCGTGGCTGGTGGGTGGAGTCGGGGGGCTGCCACACCTTTCAGTGTCCCCCGACTCATCTCCTAAAAAATGACTGCTGGAGTTAGGAAGAGAGAGTGGAGGAAAACTGATCCCTGCTCCACCTGAAGCTTGAAGCTGGAACTCCCTGGATAGTAGATGAAGATGAGCAGGAGGAAAGAAGAACGGTTGACGGAAAGGAAGCATATGAGGAACTGGAGGAGAATGAAGAATTCCTTGGTTCGGAGAAATTCCAAAATGATCACTTTCATCACTCAAATTTAACGAATTTTCTTCCGGGTTTTCGGTTTTTATCGGTTTCTCCGGTTCCTCTGGTTCGTTTATAAGATTAGCAATTGTAAATGCTTTCTTCCGCGGTTTCTCCGTCTCCGTGGTAGGTTCAGTTCTGGGAGGGGAGAGGGAGGGGGAGCGGAGAGGGCGGGACGGAAGATATGACATTATATGAGGTTGAGAAGAGGGCGGAGACCACATAGGATGGGGGGCGGGGAGGGAGTGGGAGAAGGCCGGGTAGGAAGAGGATTGATAGGGCGGAATCATTGGTGGCAAATGTTGAGGATGGGGGAGGTGGTGAGGAAGGTGGGAGGGGGGAGGAGGATAGTTCTCTACAGGACCAAAATTAGAAGCTAAAACACGGTTTAGGTTTGCTAAAGCTGCAAGCTCAGTATCAAGAGTATCCTTCTCCTCTGTATCTAGTTTAAACCTTTTCCGTCTCCGGAGTAAAGAACCGTTCTCAAACATAGCGATAGCTTTAGGATGAAGAGTCCAGTATGCTCCCTTACCAGGCCTGTCTGGTCGACGAGGAATTTTGATAAAACAATCGTTAAAACTTAGATTATGTCGGAGAGAATTCTGCCATCTTTGTGTGTTCTTTCTGTAGTACGGAAAATTGTCCATGATAAACTTGTAAATGTCGGAGAGTGGAAGCATCTTGTCAGGAGATCTCATCAGAGCCATGGCAGTCAGAGCTATGTAAGAATACGGAGGTTTACTATCTCCGTAGGATTCTCTGCTTGGTCGTGGCATGTTTAAACTCCTAGGTTTAGAACCTTACCGGAGCAAATTTATTATAAGATCAAACCTCTTCTAGGGATAAAGTGTATATCCATCCTTTAAGAATAAAACAAACTAATTTGATAATGATTGTTCATGTATATAGTATAAGGTAGAAAACTTCTCCAGGTCTGTAATCAAATAGGATGGAAAGCTCTCCAGGTCTGTATTGAGTAAGGATGGAACCTTCTCCAAGTTTAGAAAGAGTAGGTATAAATGATAAATGCTGGTGTATGTGTTCTCTAGTCTGATGAGAGCAAACAACTGGCCGGGGGTATTTGTTAACGACATGGACTCCCAAATATTTACATTGGATACTCAACTCTCAAACTCTCACTTCTCATTGGACGATATTTGCCGCCGGGAGTTCGACTAATGAAATATCTGGCGGCAGCCACTGGTTCAGGATCAGGGGTAGTCAATTGAAAATGCAAACGCTTGTGAACTGTTTGTAATCTGTTCGATCAGAAAATTGATTTTTGTTGTATCCCTCCCCCAGCCTACCTTATCTATACCTTAATATGGACTAGTACCTTTCAACACTATAGTAATAGAATACAGGTCCTTAATATGGACTAGTACCTTTCAACATTATAGTAATAGAATACAGGTTCTTAATATGGACTAGTACCTTTCAACATTATAGTAATAGAATACAGGTTCTTAATATGGACTAGTACCTTTCAACACTATAGTAATAGAATACAGGTCCTTAATATGGACTAGTACCTTTCAACATTATAGTAATAGAATACA